GTAGTCAAGATGAATTTTGGCCACATCTGGACACTACTTTCTAGATTTAAGCCTTCAGGCAAATACAGTTGGTAATCTTTTCAAATCCTTTGTATTCTTTGGTGTAGTTCAGATTAATTTTAAGGATTAGGACAATCCCTGCATGTGCAACAAGTTGCAGCGGTGACTGATCAGCCCACTTCAGACAGATGAAACCTGCTGTTATGCTGATCTGAATCTGAGGTAACCTCGTGAATCACCTGAATATAAATAGAGGATGACCTGGCAGCATGAATAAGTAAATACATAGTTAAAGAATAAATATATGTTCTTAGTCCTTTTTTTTAGATTATATTGTTTTATGTATTTTAATAATAAAGGCCTGTAAAGCAAGGCCAGCTTTGACTCATAAACCAAGTGCTCAGCCAGACTGAAAAACAGGAAGTTTAGTGCAGAGCTGCAGAGGCATATACAGGAAACCAGACAGAACTAAGTAGGAACTAAGTAACACAGAAGGAGTTGTTTTTATCGAAACTATGTGTGACGTGTAAAGGACCAAAATAATACAAACCATTTTTGGTTTCTAATGCTAGAGTTCTGAAAAATGGCTTTGGGCTGTGCAGGTCTCTCTCTTCCGGAAGATGATTAAATAAAAGATTATAAATATTTTGACTGAGTCGTGTTCTCTCTATTCAGTAAAAGAATGGCAAGAACCAGATTTATTATTTTGATTGTTGTTTTAAATTAATTTAAATTACTTTAGAATGGAAGTTTGGTTTCAGCCAACAACCATGTCATGTCTGAAGTCACACATATTACCTTTCTTTTTCACTATGATGCTTGGTTTGGTTTCTGAACGTCTACACGACTAGAGCCATTGGTTTACTCAGCCACTCTGTTCTGTGTACACTAACTCTCCCCGACAATAAAGCATGAACTGTGTGCAATGTTGAATCATTGTTGGCCACATCACATCATCCATATCCACATTTTTCTGCAATATTTTTGGAATATTGTGAATATTATGTAATATTTTCTGCAATTTCAGGTTGCAGATAAATTCACTTTGATCCATGATGATCACTAACTGCTCGTCACCCCCACCATCCCAAGAGGGGCCTCAGTGTCCACCTGAGAGTTCCTCTCAGGTGTTCGCTCCAGCTGAGCATGAGGTTCATCAACAGGACGTCATCCAAGAAACTCCTCTAGAATCAGTAGAAGACACCTTGAAATCTCTGCACATGCATCGTAACAAATACTTTAAACGTTTGAGCTCTCAATGGCAATCAACCTTCAGGGGCAACATTGCTCTCTCTCCAACAGAGAAGCGGCACAGTGCAAAGAGCTTCAGGAGGCGCTGCAAGCTGCTGGGAGACGAGCAGCCTCTATGTGTCACTACCAACAATCAGCGCCAGCGTTACGTCACCAAGGACGGCAAGTGCAGGGTTAATCTGGGACACATTAAAGACAAGAGTCGCTTCATTTCAGATATTTTCACCACATTAGTAGATCTTAAATATCTCTGGTTCCTTCTCGTCTTCACTGCCTGTTACATCCTCACATGGATGTCCTTTGGTGCAATCTACTTCTTAGATGCTTGGCTACGTGACGACATTGCACACGCCCACGACTCCCAGTGGCAGGCATGCTTTGAAAATGTGGACAGCTACCTCGCAGCCCTGCTGCTATCTCTGGAGACCCAGAGGACTATTGGGTACGGCACCAGGAGGGTAACAGCTAATTGTCCTGAGGGTGTGGTGCTCCTGATGGTCCAGTCCATCACCGGCTCCATTATCGATGCCGTGATGGTGGGCTGTATGTTCGTTAAAATCTCCCGACCACAGCAGAGGGCCCAGACACTGATCTTCAGCAAACACTGCGTCATCTGCGAGCGTGACGAGAAGCTTTGCTTGCTCTTCCGCATAGGTGACCTTCGAGAGAGCCACATGGTGGACGCCAAGATCCGAGCCAAGCTGATCAAATCCAGGCAGACCAAGGAGGGAGAGTTCATCCCACTGGAGCAGACAGAGATCAATCTGGGCTATGACACTGGAGGAGACAGGCTTCTCCTGGTAGAGCCCCAAACCATTGCCCATATCATCAATGACAGTAGTCCCTTCTGGGAGGTGGGGGCCAAGCGCTTGAAGAGGGAGACACTGGAGATTATCGTTATCCTGGAAGGCATTGTGGAGGCATCAGGTTTGTAGAAATGTGGTGCTTGTGCTGTTTAATATGGATACAGCTACGTTTACAACTTTGCTTGTTTGTCATTTTTGAAAAGAGCTAAGTATGTGTGTTATTATTAAACTGGGATTTTATTGCTTGTTGTGATGTTTACTGGTTGTTTTGTGATGTTACAGTAACACGTACAGTAGCATAGATCTTCATAAAGCTGCTTTGTGGTAGTTTTTTTGCCATTGTTTGAGTGGTTGGCAAACTGAAACCAACTAAGAAAAAGGTTACTGTTACTGTTCACCATCTAAAATATTAATAAATTTGTGTTTATAAAAAAAACTTTATTCTTATGGCTCAGTGCTGGCTAAAGTGCATAAATGCAGAGAAAAAGATGTGCTTTCATGTAAACTTGCACACAATAAAGTTATGTCCTGATAAAATCTGTTGGATCTTTTTCCAATAAAGTGACCGGTTCCTAACCCGCTGATGCTTTTCTGCAGGTATGACATGCCAGGCAAGGACATCCTACACACAGGATGAGATTCTGTGGGGTCACCGATTTGCTTCGTGCATTTCCCTGGAAAAAGGAGCATTCCTCGTGGACTGCAGTGCGTTTGACAAAACCTTTGAAGTTGAAATGTCTCCACTCAGTGCAAGAAACAGAAGCCATGCAAAGGATGAGGAATCTATATTTTAGAAACTGAAAACAGGTCTTATTTGTGGAAACTAGGAATCTGCAGTTGTAGTAATTTTATCTACTTTCTTGATGTGGAAAGTTAATTATTTTGCTATGTAAGTAGGTGAACCGAGTAATTTTCAATGATCTATTAAATTTTAAAGACAAACATGGCTTTCATACCTCTTTTTGTACACCAGCTGTGACATTCTCTGAAGTAATGACAATCATATTAATGAATATAAATCTCAGGGAGGCCATAATTTCTGTTGTTTTCCTTGTTGTATGTTTTGACATAACATGGTGTCTGATTTATTTCAAATCAAGTAAAATAAAATTTATCCTCTTTTTTTGTTCTTCATCTTTTAGTTGTTCCTTTTAGGGGGCACCATAGTGGATCCTCCATCTCACCCTATCCATAGCATCCTTTTCTGTCACACCAATCCCTATGCATGCATTTTCTCTGTGCGCTTCCTCATTTTCAGCATCCTTTGTCCAATATATCTACTATCCCTTCTTCTGCATTTGTCCAAATCATCTCAGACTTGCCTCTAACTTTGTCTCCAAACTGCTCAGCCCCCCTGATATTCTCATTTCTAATCCTGTCATTCTGCTCACTCCCAATGAAAATGTTTAACATCTTCAGCTGTCTCACTTCCAGTTCAGCCTCCTATCTTTTTCTCAGTGACACCAGCTCCAAGCCATATATCATAGCAGGTCTCACTACCATCTTGTAAATCTTACCCTTTACTCCTGCTGCTATCCTTCTGTCACAAATCACCCCTAACACCGGCCTCCACCTATTCTACCTTGCATGCACTCTTTTTTTCACCTTTCTTGTCCCCTCTCCATTGGTTTGGATGGCTGACCCCGGGTACCTGACCTCATCCAGGCATTCTCTGTTAAACAGTCTGGTCAAAAAGTCCATTGCTCGCTCTACTAGACATCTCCATACCTCTACAGGTTGTCATCTGGACCATCCGGCTTTCCACTTTCATCCTATTCATAGATGCCCTCAGTTCCTCTTTACTAATGATTCACCAACATTGCTTCATATGTCCTGCTCTCACTGTCACTTGTCTGTGGTCTTGTCTAGATGAATAGAAGAGTAGCATGGCAAATCTAAATTTAAAGGTCCACCGTTGTTTGGTGATTTTTGAACTGTGCGCTGTTGGACTCAGGCCGGATTATTTGCCCAGGGATTTTACCCATGTAATCTTGGTGGCTGTTTATGTTCCTCCCTCTGCTAACCCCACTGCTGCATTTGACATTAGCACTCTGTCATAGCCCAGTTACAGACTCAGCACCTCGGTGAGGGCAGATCCCATGAGTTGGATTTGTTTTCAACAGATTTGACACTGCAGTAAATGCCCCCCCCCACTGACCTACCTGTAGTTAGCCTGCAATCCACTGCCAAGCCACTCACTCTCTTTCTCTCTACACATTGCACCATAAAATCTTGAGAAAATCCTGACACCCCTCCCACACCTATCGTTTTCGATCGTGACCAGGTTCAAAGAGAACAGAGAAGACTCCACTCAGGCAAGTCTGCTCGACCAGACAGGGTGAGTCCCCTTGTCCTCAAGGCCTGTGCCCCCAGCTTTGAGGAGTCTTTCATTAACTGTTCATGGTGAATCTGAGCCCGCAGAGTGGAAGACGTCACAGCGGCCCCCGGGATTACAGACCTGTGGCGCTGACTTTCCACGTCAGACCCTGGAAAGACTCCTCTCTGACCATTCCCAAACTATTATCAGGATCCCCTTCACAAACTGCATGCTATGTTTACTCCAGTTAACTTTGTCTTTATGTTTTATGGACAACAGATGGAAATTAGCCCTTGGCTATAATCTGGTATGTTTACATTCATGTAATTTTTTTTTACATTTATGTTCATTAACATGCACTGTCCTAAATAAATTAAATTAATATTAAAATTGAATTGATGATCTGAAACATTTAAGTGTGACCAATATGCAAAAAATAAAAATAATAATCATACATATATTTTACACAAGAGTTTACATTACATTTGTCCAAGGTTCAGCAAAAGGAAGATTAATTTAATGAGCAGTAACACTGGCGGCGTTTTACAGCCCCACCTCGGTAGATGGCGCTAATGCGCGTGAATACAAATATAAATCCAAGAAGTAATGTCGGAAGAACAGCATGATGGGATATGAGAGTCCTCCGGCGGCGCGTTGCCGCCATGTCTCCTAGAGAAAAACATTTATTGCTTCTCTCTGCTCTAGGCCTAGTTATTCTCGCTTTTTATTATATTCCCACTTTTCTTTATGTGACCTTAATTCTTGCAGTTTGTTGTATTGTCTGTTATTATCATAGCGGAGAACCGCTTCCCGCCAGGTTAGGCCCGAATCCTCGGGGTGGGCTAAACGTTCCGGCCGTACTGCGGCGCTGGCTGTGGGGCTGGGAGGCGACCGGCGTCTCGGTACCCGCACGGGGGAGAGCGAAGAGCAGCGGCAACAACAGAGCCGAGCTCCGGGAATCAGAGGGACACTTAAGTCAAAGACTCGCTGAAAGCGGAGTTTATCGAAAGGAATCCTTATCAAGCGAGTCTTTTCTTTTTAGCCCCCGGGATTTTCTCATGGGGAGTTACATCGGGAAACCGGAGAGCCCAACCGCCGACTCGGGGAGGCGGAGAGCTGTGAGAAATCCCCGAGAGCAGCTCCGGGAAAAGCTGGCCAGACCCAACCACGCCGTCTATACTCCAAACAGAAGGCTTTCATTTGCTGGGTATGTTCAGGCTAAAATCAAATCAATCACATCTCGGTTTTACCGGCGTAATACAGCCCGGTCTTTTTGAATGGAGGCGGTTAAGTTGTTGGAATTCAAAAGGTTAAAGGTGCAGCTTGGCGGTTTTTAATGACTAACCTTCGAGTCGTCAGAGCGATCTCTGTAGCTCCACACAGCTATCCAAATGTGCTACACGTTACTGCAACCCTATGCGTATATATCTGTACAGGTTATGTCATGTGCAAGAGTTTCTCATTACAGTAATTTACTACTAATATAGTACCGGCATTTCCAATCTGTGAACAGTTATGACAGAAAACTTGAATTGTTGGCCATATAAATTACTTTAGTACTGAAAAGCATATTTAGCAGGTTTGCTGTATTGGCAATGTAGTAATGTATTTAGAAAGCATTAGACTTTTACCTGACAATCGGATTTATTTCCGCTATCGCCCCAACCATTATAGAGACTGACGAATGGTATTTAACATGAAATATCAGAGACAGGAACAAAAGTTCACGTTTTCTGTAATATTAGTGAGTATTATATGTTTGGGTTTTCCCAGAAAAATCTATTATGGCCATTTGTGGGATTACGAAAAGCAGACTTTCAGACCCTTCATTTTGCCTTGGCCTCTAATTGTTCTGTCCTGCAGGGAGACACCGGGAGCAGCGAGCAGGTTCACCATCACACCCCAGCGCCACTACCCCCTGCAGCAGCCGGGTGTCTCGTCAGTGGGAATCCTTCCTCCCGTCAAATGGGACGGTTTCAGAAAGAAAAACATCCTCAGCCCTCGCAATTCCCCGGCTGCCCTCAGCCCTGTCACAGTGAAGATCGCCAGGCCTGACCACAGCTCCCCCAGGTCTCTGTGCGATCTATGCATTACAGTGTTTCAGTCTAGATCATCAGCTTGAGTCAGATCTCTTTAAACTCTAACATAACCTGTTTTAAGAGATTAATGTCAAAACCCTTTTGATAAAACTTTTGTAATGGCTGTTTACCTTTCTTTTGTTTCAGCATGGACCATTTGAGTTATGCCGTTCTCCCCAGAGCGCCTGCCGATCCGTGCTCCAGAGAGAGTGTCCTCAAGGTGCTGAAGGAAAGCCGCAAGAGAGAAGTGGACGACGAGGACAGGAGCTTTACAACTGAGCAGAAAAGCAAAAGAAGGTACGAGGCAGCACATGAATGCTGACAAGCTTTATATTTTTGCCTTTTTATGTAGCTTGGTGACACTTTTTTTTTTTTGTCTGATAGCTGTAAGGTTATTATAGTAAACTAAAAGTAGGTATAAAAACATTTCAACTGAAATAAATTAAAAAAATAGACTGGAAAAAAAAGGACTTCCTATACTCGCACAGCAAACCTAAGACATAAAAAGTATCATGTGTTTTGTTTAAACCTTCTTGGTCTGTAGGTAATGCATAGTGTGGTTATTAGCAAGGCTACAGAAAAACAGCCTGTTGATGCTTTTAGTTGTCTCGGTCTCTTAGCTTTACGGACAGCTGCAAACAGAATGGATGAATAGCTTTTTCCTATTAACACCATTTCCCAGTCCATTTGTGGTGCACTTGGAAAGCTCACTCTTCTAATGTAATGTTCCAACAAAATATACACTCCCACATGGGGCCTTGCATTCTTATGAATGCATATAACATCTGCATTATAATGCTGTATTCATTTCTTCCCTTTTTCCCCCAGTAATTTGAATAGATACAGATCACACGTACAAATGTGGCCTTAAAGTCTTCTATAAATACATTACCGAAGCTCAAATGCAGTTTTGAGTTACTGGATGCCAAGAAAATTGGAAATATCACTAACACTTAACACAGCACATTTTACATAGGTTTTCTCTAGGGCTGGGCTATATCATACCGTTCACGGTAATACCGGTGTAATTTTGGGCAACGATAGGAAAATGAAATATCACAATAGAATATGGGTAAAACACGCGTGCGTAGTGCCTTTGTTTACATACGCACATGGCGACGAGGCAGAATGAGAAGAGCGAAAGTGGATCGTTGAATGAAACGGATGAACCAGAATTGGTTTGTAAAAATGCTGCAACCTTAGTGGTGTGGAACTGGTTTAGCTTTCGTCCGTCAGATACACAACAAAGCACTATTTTTGGTAGAGCATGTTAGCGGGCCGTCGTCATCACCGTGTTGTTTGGAAAATACGGCACACTTAAAATCAATCCTTTGATTTTTCTGAAAATCGACAGTGCCCCTTATAATCCCGTGTGCCTTGTGTATGAATTCTGGTTGTGTTTACTGACCTCGAAACGATTTTATGTCGTACACGGCGCTCGAAAATCTGTCAAATGTTTTAGTACGACTAAGCTACGAACCCGCACCGCTTGATTGATTGTCGGAGCATTACGGCTATGTTAGGCAGGCGCCTCGCGGAGTGATACGTACTGTGCTTCAACATAATATTACCGTATTGTGTGTGTATAACCTCTTTTTAAGTTTTGTGGATATTATACATGGTTATGCTGATGATATGTCGGCCAGTTTCCACTGGAAATGCCTTTTGATTAAACTGTCAGCAAGGAATTTGCACTGTTACATTTTTATATAACTTTAATGCACATAAAAAACAGCTGCTTGTTTAAGTGAAAATACATTGATGGGTTTTTTGCAATAATAAAGTTGTGGAATTGTAAAGTATTTTGTCTAGTGTCAATTAGATCATCAGTTATATCATTATCGCAAATTTTCAAATGTATATCGTGATAAATATTTTTGGTCATATCACCCTGCTCTAGTTTTCTCTATTGTTATATTTCAAAATAATAAATGGTTGTTGGTTTTTTCCATTTTATTTTTTAATTAATTTTTTACTTCCTAAGACGTAATGACAGCGGTGGAAGTGCACACTCTGCTTTTGAACCCCTTTTGCCCAATGGCACGCCGTCACAGCTGGTTCCTAAGTAAGTTAAACTTTTCATACAGTTAGATCATGTCTTATGAAAGCCTGTGGTGCAGGGTGAAGTATAGTGTGGTGCTACCTGTGCATTAAGAGAAATACTTTCCTTTTCCCAGGCCAGGAAGTCTGAAAAGAGGGATGACCTCACTGACTGAGGAGTCCATTATGAAGAGGTCTCGGACATCCTCAATCAGCTCTGGCAGTGGAGCTCATGCTCCAAGAGGAACCCCGGGCACCAGGAGAAATGCCATCCAGAGTTCCTACAGCTCTTCATTGGGTCTCAACCAGGTAACTCTTCTCTGCTGCATTAAAGGACGCACAGGATTCTAGAGGAAACAGTGGAGCTATGACACTCTAAATCTTGTTTTCCCTTCACAGTGGAAGAAGCCGTCAGCACCCAGCTCCCCTCTGTCCAGCCCTGGATCATCTCGCTGTCAGACTCCAGAGGGCATCTCAAAAAGACCCAGGTGTGTCTCTGTTAGGCTTCTGATCAGTTGTTGACATTTAATCCAGTATTGCGGATTGTAACCTTAAGTTTCATTTCCAGAGAGGACGACACGCAGTCTCCCAGCTCAGCATCCTCTGCAAAGTCAGATCACACGTCTATGGACAACACACTCGTCTCTTGTGAGTGTCATACCTTGAGTAGCTGTGTTGTGTAGGGATTCATCTGTCCTAGAAATGCAGCTCTGTGCAGCAGATTATTTAGATTTATGCAACACTGACTGAAAAGTTCTACTACTAATTAAAAATCCATAGAGCTAATTTGCTGGGAAGTGATCATAGGTAATGCTAGTTAGACTTTATTTACACAAAGTCATTCCTTATCCCAGAAATTCATTCACTTGTACCCTAAAGACCCATTTTCCAGCATGGGGTTTATCTTAGTGGCCCTCTACTGTTAAGTTAACTCTTAAGACTGTTGAAGAATATTATCAGAGTTTTCAAATGGGACTCAAACTCATGCGTTTGAACATTATCATTGCAATTGTGCTTAATTCAGATTGCTTCTTTACTTTTAGAGAAATTGATTAGCCAGTTTGACCCCTCATTACTCGGTTTAAGAAAATGGTTTCCAGAAACATCCCAAGAAAGGCTGTTGGATTTTTTGGGGGTTTTTTTTGTTTTTGTTTTTTTTCTTCTTGTGGCAAATGTTCATTCATTCAGTGGGTCTGAATGAACGAACAACAAGTTGGGATTTGTGCAGTGTTCAATCCGTGTGCCCCAAAAATTTAACATGAATGCAGTTGACTTAAAAGAAAAAAACCTTCAGAGACATTAAATTGCTTTCTATTTATTGTGCCTTGTATGATGATGTTCCAGTCAAACTGGCTCCATTGCCCAAGGTCCAACTCAATACTTCGTCAGACTCTGGTGGTAGTGGGAAAAGAAAAAGGAAGATTCAACTGGTGTCCAGCAACCGGGATGATCACATTTCTCTGGTAAGGATTACTGCAGTCTCATTAGAAACCTCTGTTCTCATGCTTAGCCATTACAGTGCTTTTAGTCTCTCCTTGTGCTTCCTTGCAGCCCCCACCTCCTGAACTGGGTTATACAGTTACTGTTAAAGATCTAGATGAGGAGAAAAAGGCTGGTATAAGTAAGATACAGAAGGTCCTGGAGACACCTGGTAAGTTGCATTCAGTTCAATCTGTTAACCCTTCATTCACATGTAAAGATTTAAACACCAGAAAAAATATTTATAGAATAGAAAAGAATAAACCTTTATTATCCCACGGATGAGAAATTTTGTTGTTACACAGCTCTTATAGTAAGGGGAATATAAAACAGACACAAAGTGGTCGTTTATACATAAGCAACTGAAGTCCGCATATACAGGTAACAATGTACAGAAATGTGTATAGAAAAATCGCATGGAGATATGTATAAAATGTACATAAAATATATCTATATTACTATAGAGCCATTGTGAAAGAAGTCAATCTACATAAATGTGTTTCAACCAAAATGGAGGAAAAAGCCCTAGCATGTCTGTGACCCTCTTCTTTCTTTTAGCTCCAGAGCCTGAGAAGACTGTCTCCCCCTCAGCCACCACTTCCACCCTGCCTGCCCCCTCTGCTGGCTCTACTGCTACTGCTACAACTTCCACCACAACCTTGAGCAGCCTTCTGGCAGCTCCCTTGCCCACATCTAGCTCTGCCACCCCAGTCATTAACCTGGATCCCAATCCAGTGAGCAGTGCCGGTACAGTGCCTGCAGCCCCCAACCCACTGCTGGAGGCTTTGAAGAAAGCTAGTGCTCCTTCTCCCACATCCGCTACCAGTGCAAGTTCAGGTACAACTGCTCTTCACTTGATTTAATTTTGACTACCTTTAATTTCTTTGTTCTGTACACTCATGTTTTTTTCCTCCCAATGTGCCCTTAGTGTCTGTATCAACCACACCCGCACAACCCAGTGTTTCAATCCTAAAGGCATCAACAACAGTGGCTTCCCCACAAATCCCTGCAGTCTCCCAGTCCTCCTCTGCGTCTGTGCAGCAGTCCTCCGCCTTTGCTCAGGTCCTACTGGGTCAGGTCTCCCAGGCTGCCAGCAGCACCCCACCTATGGCAAGCCTATTTGGGGTGGCTAGTCAGGTCAGCGCCTCCTCTGCTTCCTCAACATCTAACTCAACTGCTGTTACTGCAGCCCCAGCCAGCAGCTCTGCATCAGTCAGTAACACCAACCCACTAATGGCTTCAGGCTTTAAGCCCATCTTTGCTGTAACCGCCACCACCACTTCAGCTACATCAGCTTCAGAAAGCAAACCACCTGTCCAGAATTTCAAACCCATCTTTGGAGATGCCACTGCGGCTACTGGCTTTGGACAGCCTCCATCCCTTGCAAGTGCAAAGGCAGCCTCTACAATTTCAAGCACAACCAGTACAGCCTCAGTATTTGGTGGATCAACAAGCAGCAACACAGCTGGCCCATCTCTGTTTTCTGGCTCAACCACCACAGCTGGCACATCCACAGGCTCCCTTCCCACTTCACAGCCTGCTCCACAGCCAGCTATGAAATCCCTATTTGGAAACTGGAACACAACATCTACAACAAGTACCACCAACTCAGCTTTGAATCAGGCTCAGAATGCTGTCGGCACAATTCAGTTTGGAACTGCTACCACTACTACAGCAGCAGCCACGGCCCCAGCTCCAGGACCTGCTACTGCTTCAACCACAACCTCCAGCCAGGGTACCTTTGCATTTGGTGCCACACAGCCAGATGCTCAGGCTGCCAGCCAGAAAGTATTTACATTTGGCCAGACAGCACCCAATCAGAACACAACCACTGCTTCATTTGGAGGCTTTGCCATGGGCAACACAGTTTCCACTGCTGCTCCTGCTACCACACAGTCAACCTGCAACTTTGGAAAGTCATCTTTTGAAGCCCCAGCAGCTCAGACAACCTTTGGCTCCACAGCAGCAGCGCCAAAGCCATTCACTTTTGGAGGCAGCGGCGCGTCATCCACACCTGCTTCTAACCCTGCCCCAGCTCCTTTCAACTTTGGGGCAACTCCTACCACCACAGCAGCCACTTTTGGTACCCCAGCTAAACCAGCATTTGGAGCCAGCACTGCTGGTTTTGCTTTCGGTGGCACTGCCGCTCCCTCAGCTGCACCCTCAGCTCCACCAAGTTTCGGTGCAGCAACCCAGGCTCAGAGCTCCTCCACACCCACCTTCGGATTTGGCAGTGCAGCTCCTCAGCCGGCTCCCTCTGGACCAGCTCAGCCAGCATCCGGTGGATTTAACTTTGGCTCTGGAATGCCGTGCCCTCAGTTTGGAACACCAGTTTCCAATAATCCTGCACCACAGATGGGAAGCTTCAACTTTGGGGCTGCTGCTACAGACAAACCAGCTTTTGGTAAGGAATTAAGACTGTTGTTGTTTTGCTTGTTTATGTCTTAAGCCCACCTGTAGAGCGGTTCAAGCAATGAATGTAATGTTGGCTAGCTATTTCTTTTGGCTGTTCCCTTGCTTGAAAGGGTTTTTATCACACCAGACATTTGATTTGGCACAGATTTTACTCCGGGTGACCTTTTTGTGTCTCCTCCTGGTCTCAAGTCAGGGATCTTTCTCGTGTTAGGCAAAGATGTTAACCACTACACTAATTTTGTCTGTTGCGAATATCTTAAAATAATTTTAGTTTTGATTACCAGTAAATGATAGTAAATTAATTGAAATGATTGGTATGTGAAACATAACCAGTAGTTGAATTAACGGGTCTCAGTAGTGGGGAGGGTGGGCTGCATTTTTGTTTGTTTACATCGCTGTATGGTTGCACTTATGTGTGAGTGCTGGTTTCCTACTGTGCCACACACTGACAGAAAGATTTCTGTGGTTAGGTTACTATGTTGGTCTATCAGAGTTTTAGGTGTTGGGTGTTTGAAGTTGCATGCTGTTTTCCCTGCAGGAACGTCAACACCATCTTTTGGCCAGAGTGCTGCTGGAGGTCCAATTCCCTTTGGAAGTCCTGGAACTCCACTCCAAGGCTTCAATGCTGTTCAGTTTGGTGAGGCATCAATTTTCTTTTTCTTTTTTTTTTTTTCTTTCTTTTTTTTTAGAGGTGATGCCCAGCTGGGGCTTTAGTAGGGATGTGTGGCTAGATGTTTAAACGATGGTTGCTCTCAAGGAGCTGTAACCCAGTGATTTAAACAAATTAGTCTTCTGATTTTATTTAGTGAGAGTGCAGCACCATCACAAAGTTTTATTGATAAATTTGTTAAATTACTCTATACCTCTTCTGTTGGTAATAGGATGCTACACTGTAGCATTATGCATTGCAATGTAGTGGGATTTAGCCTGTTTATCTACTGCTGTGAGGCCGAAGTGGAAACACATGGGTTCTGTTATTAAAGGTGGGCTTGAGGCAAGCTTATGGGAATTTTTATTGGAGCCAAATACTTAAAAGCATGTTGCCTCACTATAAGAATTCCTTGTCAGACCTGATATTGATCCTAATTTAGATGAAATTAAGAGGCAGTTTTGAAGTTTGAAAATTTGATGCCACTGTTAAGAACTGGATACTTTGTAGCAGAAATTGTTACATATCCATATATTTTTTATTTTGTTTAGGATCTCCAGCAACTCCTTCCTTCTCAATCGGAGCTGGATCGAAAACATCCGGAGCACGGCAGAGGCTGCAGGCGAGGCGACAACACAACAGGAAGAAGTAGCCTGCCACGTCGTTCCAACAACGCATTCGGAAGGACTCCAGCTGTTGCTGCTATGGCTAACCTGGCTAACATTGCTCTGTTCTAAGCCCAACATCCCACCCCATCAGGCTACCACCATGCCCTCTGCTTCCTCCCTCTCCTCCTCCAGTGGGTTGTGCTGGCCCGAAGTTTGCAGACGAGTTAGATAGAGCACATTAGCCTACTGAGTCCATGACCCAGTGAGGGAATGCAGCAGTAAGGAGAGAGAAACCACAATTATGTACTATACTTGAAAGAGAAAAGACTATTTGATAGATGCTGAACATAAGCATATCCAAAGTTCTTTTTCCTTTTACCATACACGGACACTCCCATTGGTTCGTCTTAAGGAGAAAGTTGAGTCGAGCTAAAGGTGGAGCTGCGGCTCAGACATTTATTTTTTTACGTGAAACGCTCGCTGGTTTGTATGTTACCTGGATATTTGAATACATTCTCTGACTGAGTCTGAATGGGATGAAATGCACAGTCAATTCAGATAAGGTACACAACACTGCAGTGTAAATGTAAAGTTTGCATTTAAATTATTTTTTTAATTGGCTCTCTGACCCTGTAAATGAATAATGTGTTTCTGCACTTAAAAGGGTGACTTAGTAAATGTCTTAACGTAGTTTGTGCAGACCCTTGTGTTCTTGTTTCGTACTCTTTGTCATTGCAAGCATTCCCAGAGTCCTCCTGTGGATGGCCTTTTTTGATAGTGATTGCCAACTGATTGAATTAGCAGGTCAGTATGTGAGTAGGATGAGTACTCGACTAGCGCTGACAAACCAAAGCCAACTCTTCAGCTTGTTCCCTGTGAAAAGAATCTTGAGACGAGAGTGTGCTTGTGTGTGTGTTTGTTGTGCCAGACTACCTCTCTTTGCGCCCAGGCACTGAATCCTTGTTAATTCACTGAAACGTAACAAATCTGCTAGAATCAGTTACATTTTACCTTCAGCCTACCTGCTGTTAATGCACATGTAACTGTGATAAATGGTGAGTTTTTAAATATCTGCACAGCAACACATCCCCACTTCAGAAATGTCACTGCTACCTTATGTCAGATTTACTAAAATTACAGTCTGTTCTATTGGATCTCTCACAGCGATACAGGGATTTTTTTTGTTTCGTTTTTGTTTTTATTATTATTTTTGTTTTTGAGCATGCAGCAAACATGGACAGTAAAGCAGTTGATGTCAGCTGTTTTATTCAAATGATCTGTTCTCAGTAATAATCACCTCTTATTGTGAAAAGTGAGCCGTTACCAGTTGGGTTTTGTGTTTGTTTTTTTGGGGGGGGGTGTCTGTCTTTGTTTCTTCTTTTTTCTTCTTTTTTTTTTTTAAATTTTTTTTATTTGGATGGTCAAATTTGAATAAATAAAAATGTGAGTTGTGGATGTTCCACATTAAACCTTTAAAGATCGCCAAATTTTCTTCCCAAGATGTGGAGGCTATACTTCATACTGTGTATTAGCAGTATGCTGTTTTTGTAGTGGATATACAAGTATTGCTTAGTAATGTTGCAGGAAGTTAAAGAGGACCTGTTATGATTGTTCTTATTTTCTGTCATGTATATACTGTTACAATAGTGGATCCTCGTATTAAACTTGGCCAGAGTTTTGAGTAATTTGTTCACTTTATGAACAAGTAAACCCTGTCAGGCGTCAAACTTCTCCAAACGCACAGTTTCTGATAGTTTTTTTTTTTTCTTCTACTACTTCTGGTTGTATGATGTTTATGAGAGGAGTAATCCTTAACACCTCTCTTTGTGAGGGGCATCCAATCAGAAGAGCCCCTTAAAGAGGGGTTTGCTACACATGGTGGATGAACAGCAGAGCAAGAAGGGAAAGTGATTCTTTATGGAGTCTGGATTTTTTTTTTCTCCAAGCTTCTGTGGGTTTCTCTTCTGAATTCGGGTTTCTCCCCTGCCAAAAACATGAAACACATTGGAAAAATGCTTTGTTAATGACATGCTGCTTACAGCACAAGAATGTCAAGAATTGATATCCAACATACTCTGAGAGATCTAAGTAGTGTTTTACTGGGCACTGTGTCTACGAGTTAGTCCCAATAAATTTAAGTGATTTAATTTCAAGAAAGCTGGAGTTGAAATCAGATTCAATATAACGTTAGACTAGATATAAGTCCAAACTTCTTTTTCTTCTCAGAAAATAATCACACTGCGTTTTAAAGCATATTTGGAAGTATTACCACTTGCCACGGAACAGTAAATGGCTACTTTCCTGAAGAATACATGCTTTTACTTTAAATATTTCAGGTATACTTGATGCAAATATCTAAATCACATTTATTTAGGCTTGTAGACATGGTCAAAATGAAGTTCAACTCAGCATGGGGATGGGTAATTTAAGAAACTTTGAAAGGTGAAAATGCCTGACAACTTTGAACTGATCCAAAAACTCATTTAATTACTTGTTACAAACACAGGAATGCAGAGGAGCATCTCTGAATGCACAGCATGTTAAACCTTGAAGTAGGTGAGCTAAAGCAGCAGACACCCCACAATCAGTGCCACTCCTGTCAGCTCAGAAAAGGACACAGAGGATACTCTTCACGCGGGATCGCAGAAAACGGACAGTAAAAAACTGGAAAAAAATTTGCCTGGTCTGGTGAGTCTTGATTTTTACAGAAATACTCAGATGGTAGGATATAAATTTTGGTGTAAACATCGTGGAAGCATGGCTCCAACCTTTTTCCTGAAAAGTTTTCAAACATTCCACACACGCCAGTCCGCTAGGTGGCATTAGAGACGATTTGATACCCGGATTGTGCTGCATTCATGACTACACGCAGAACAGGAAATGTGAAAATTGTGGCAGTTACGATAGGTAACGCCATTAAAACTAAGAAAAAAACGAAAACGAATAATCTAAGAGATTAAGTTGTCTTTTAACGTCATGTTAAAATCATGCAAGCCAAACTGAATGGAAACGGAATGTTTATACATTTAAAATAAACTGTATATACATTTAAAATAAACGGAAATGTTTGGGGACGGGGGATTCTCGTATTTACTATTTGCAGTCGTAAACTGAACGCAGCCTTAGATGAAGCGTGCTATTAGGACGCATGCGCGGTGCCCCAGTCGTGCGGGGTTAGTTTAGGAGACGTTAGCGTTGCAAAATACGTGGCAGAAGGGTGTCAACATGGAGATAGCTGCTCTGGCCGCGTTAACTTTGTTACTGGGTGCACTGGTTATTCTGGTTGCGTTAGCGGTGGGCAGACGGAAAGAAGAAATAAGAGAGGAAACGGAGCAGGCAGCGGAGTTTGCCGGTAAGAGCCACTCAGGCTAACGTAACTCTAGCTAGCTGGAGAAGGGGGAGACTGTGGAGAAGGCGGCAAGTCAGTCATACTGCATTCATTCATTCATTCATTCATTCATTCACTCACTCACTTACTCAGTAATCGATTCATTCAACAAAAGAGCTCCGTGCCAACGATATTAACACGAACTCAGAGCTAGAAGTACAAGCTACGGTAACTTTTGAGTGGCTGTCACTGTCACATTAACAGACCAATGGGTGCACTGCTTTCTGTCGAGTCACTGCCTGTTTTTTAACGCTTCATTGATGACAAAGGTTCAAATCGGTATCTGTAGCACGTAACATTAGTTAATGACAACACTCCTGTACATGTAAATGGTAAATGGCTTGTATTTGTATAGCGCTTTACTTAGTCCCTAAGGACCCCAAAGCGCTTTACAGCGTAAAGTAGAATAGCTCACTGTATAAAGATAGTACTTAAAAGTTATAAAACAGAGGAAGGTTAGCACATTCATCTGATGTTGAGTCTGTTTAACTATGTTTGAAGAAGAATTTACATTAAATTAAATTTTGGACTAATAAAGACGTAGTTAGACTATTATTTTTTCTCCAGGTAATAGGATTTATAATTGAATAATAATACAGTAATAATCCTGGGCATAATTTTTATAACCTTGGAGTTAATCACTTTAATAGTAACTTATTATAGTTTTGTGTTGTCTAAATAGGTTTTGTTTGTGTTTCATTTTGAATTTTGTTTTTCTTTTGAGGATAGTTTGAGTTATTTTGGATGTTTTAGTTTAGATTTTTATCCATCACATCCATCCATTTTCTTCCACTTATCCCAGACAGGTTGCCACTCTGTTGCTGGGTTAATTTAGAGACCGACAACTGCCCATACTCACATTTACACCTATGGCCAATTAAGAGTCACCAGTTAACCTAATGTGTATGTCTTTATACTAAAGGAGGAAGTTAAGTAATTCGTTTTTAAAAAAAAAAATTATTTTGGTTACTTTTTCATTTTCTTAGTTTTCAATCGTATAGCTTATTTCCAAAATTTTCTTGGCTTTTAATTTAATTTTAGTTCACTATAATAATCATGCTGAGAGTGTTTTTCCACATTCTGTTAACATTGCATGCAGTGAATAGAAAACCTCCCAGAGCTAATTCCCTGATTTGAGTTTGTTTTTTTTTTTGTGGGGGGGGGGGGGTCGTCATGATACCAAGGATTGGAAAATTACACATCAATTATCTTTTAGCTGTTTGTTAATGCTTCATAACACCCAGATCATGTTCAGAAATAGCATAACCAATGGTTTATTCTAAAATGAAATGTGTGGAAATAAAACTTTTTTTTATGTTCTTAGCCTTTTCCTTATGACTGGGCTTTGACATACATGCTAATGTGCAGGCTTGTTGAAGAAGATCCATAAACAAGAGCTTTCCATCAATGATTTTTCCCCAGAGATAACGGATTCATAGCAGCTCACAAGAGTACATTGTTATTGTTAGACTGCTTATTAAAGTTAGATACACTTATATTGTTAGTAAAATTACAGAAGACCAACCACACAAACCACACAACTTAATTAAATAATGATAATAGAAAAACTTATAATAAAAAGTAAAGAAATAAAATGGAAACCTAAAAAACAAAATGAGTACGTGTATTTTGTTTATATTTATGTTAGAAATTGTGCAAAATTACAAATTCTATATGATATGTTATTATCTATATAATGCTAAACATATAGCATTATAAATGGACTGGTTCTGTTTTGTAAGTGCTTTGTACTACAAGAGTTATTAACACAAGCACTTTTTTCCTGTGCCTAACTACTTACTACCTAATATTTATGCTCTATGAGCCCATTGGAGAGCAACTTGGGGTTCACTATCTTCCCCAAGGATACTTTGGCATGCAGACTGAGGCAGCCAGTGATCAAAGCAGCAAAGCTCCAATTAGTAGAACTGCTTATTCTCCTGATATACAGCCATCTGAGTAATAGTTTGTATATATCCTTTTAAAATAGTCTTAGTGGGCATCAATGGTCATGTTTTTCCTGTGTGTCTTCCAGCTGAAGCCAGTGCTGTGAAGGGTTCCCAATCCAAGAAGCAGAAGCAGGAGAAGCAGCGTGGCCGCAAGGATAAACCTACACAACACACTTTCAGCCATCCGCTGCTGGCAGCCTCTCTGAAGGTAAACTGAAACAATCATCAAACACACACATTGTAAAAGCCTCAGAGGACAAGGAAGAGTTTTCATAAGAGACCGGAGTTTGGTTTGTTTTAAGTCACTGTAGGTTATGCGAGTTAAAAGCCTTGCTTTTGTTTTGGTCTAGATGCCGCTCAGCTCAGTGAGCTGTTCTGAAATAATTTAACAAGGTTTCACTTGCACCCTCTCCATAGCCATTTTTCAGCATGTGTGTACTTGTTTCCATGTGCCTTTTAGGGCCACAGTGGAAATGTGACGTGCCTCGATTTTAGCAGTAACGGGAAGTACCTGGCGTCCTGTGCTGACGACCGCACTGTTCGGATCTGGAGCACCAAGGACTTCCTGGACCGCGAGCACAAGTGTCTGAGAGCCAATGTGGAGCTGGATCACGCTACGCTGGTCCGGTTTAGCCCTGACTCCAGGTCTTTAACTACACTTACTGACATAAAGCATTTCTTCTCTTTCCTAAGGAAAGTGAATTGTACACAAGAGCTAGTGTAAGTTTAACATAAACCAGGTCAAAGAGGTTTAGAAAAGACTTGTGAAGTAACTTGTTTGATGATCTGAAACATGTAAGCATGTAAAATATGAAGAAAAGTAATCAGTAAGTGGACCAATACCTTTTCAAAGTATTATACACAACCAGAGTTATGGTGAGGTAATCTTCAGAAAATCTTCACTGATTTTCTCCTTTTCTCTACAGGGCGTTTATCACCTGGTTGGCCAACGGAGACTGCATACGAATCTTCAAAATGACAAAGAAGGATGACGGCTCCATGAGCTTCAAAGCTGCTCCCGAGGACTTCCCACAGAAGCACAAGGCCACCATCCTCAACATTGGCATCGCAGAGACAGGTACAGAATGCCGAAATAACTTAAAAGTTTTTACTTATAGTATCGGCTAGTAACGCAGTTAACACAGCTGGGTTTGTTTTTATCACCAGCTGGGTTTTTGAAAGTGTGTGAAACCATTTGTGGTTTAGTATTTAACAATCAGTAAATTCATTTCAATGTTTCTTTTATTCATCTGCTCCATCTCTCTGATTATTTGTCCAGTCTTTGGGTTAGTCAGCCTCTTGACAGCCTAACTGTTTTAAGAAAAAAATCGACCCACCAACAAGCAACAAAAGTTGACTCTAGTTTCACATGAGAAGAAAGCTGTCAAAAAAGGGAATATCTGTTAAAACCTTATTTATTGATTTATTGATTTATTGATTTTTCAGTATTTGTCACCAGTTTATGGGGCTGATATTGTGTTTCTCACCCACAGGCAAGTTTATCATGAGTGCCTCCACCGACACCTGTATCAACATCTGGGACCTGAAAGGAGAGGTGCTGGCCTCTATCAACACGAACCAGATAACCAATTCTTATGCTGCCATCTCCCCGTGTGGCAGGTCAGTCCCACTCCTTATTTACTGCACAGCTTACACTTGAAAGCTTAGAAATGATATACATCTACTCTGTAAGTTTATTGTTTTACTGTTTCATGACATTAAAACAGAAAAAGTGTCTATAAGCGATGTTTTACAGTAAGAGCTGTAGGTTCTTCTGCTTTAAACTGTTGTTGAGAAAAGTAAAGGTCTGAAAAGTAATTTTCCCACATGTAAGATGATTTCTTCATATTGTTTTTACTTTTAAATTCCATTCAGTAAAATAAAAATCGAAATAAAAATAAGTGTTTGAATTGCGTGTCACTCTTTGGGAGCTCTGATCCTGCTTCATCTATTCGCTCAGGTTTGTCGCGTCCTGCGGCTTCACTCCTGATGTGAAGGTGTGGGAGGTTTGCTTCGGCAAAGGAGGAGACTTCAGAGAGGTGGTGCGAGCCTTTGACCTGAAGGGCCACTCTGCTGGAGTCCACGCATTTGCCTTTTCCAACGACTCTCGCAGGTAATACGCTGCAATATTTGAGATGGAAAATAAATGGTTGTTTATAAGCTGAGACAACATAAAATGGCATATAAACGTTAAGGTGAGAGTAAAGAAGCCTGCTGTGTTAAGCAGTAATACTTTCTTTTCATTTTTCAGGATGGTGAGCGTCTCCAAAGACGGCACGTGGAAGCTATGGAACACGGACGTGGAGTACAAAAAGCAGCAGGATCCCTACCTCCTGAAAACCGTTCCCTGCAGCTCGTCTGAAGGCAGCCGGGTGGCCTTGTCTCCAGACGGCCGGGTGGTGGCCGTCAGCGATGGCTGCAACGTGGCCATGTACGATGCTGCCAGCGGAAAGCTGGAGGAGGAGATGCACGGCGTCCACAGCATGGAGATCACGGACCTTAGGTTTGACATTAACGGACGCTTCTTGGTGTGCAGTGGCGACAAGGCTATCCGAGTGTTTCACAATGCTCCGGGCTACCGGGCTGCCATCAAAGACATGCAGGACATGCTGAGGAAGGCTCAGAACGAGGCCATGAAGCAGAGACTGCAGCAGCAGATCAAAGAGGCTCAGAGTGCCCTGGACGCTGTGCTCGCTGCCCCCTCCAACTAAACAGAAATAACAGGAAATCACACTCTGAATGTGACAGTGTCAGACTCTGCTAATCATTTGTTTGCATAGTCACCTCTGCCTCTTAATGATCTGGACTGTGAAGATGAGATTTGCATGCAGTTTAATAAAAGGTATCTTTTTATGGAAGTGCTTCGTTTGATTTGAGACATTTGGACTTCTGAGTGTGATGTGCTGTGATTGTGTTTGATTTGTCATAGTTTGTGAAATTGGTCTCATAGTTCTTCAGAGTCACTATGTGGAAAAAGGAACAGATTAACAGTCCCTTTAACATCTAATGGCCACTGTCGGTTTGGGTGCTTCATTTCCAAGTCCAGGTGTTGTCTGTGCTGACTCACTGTGAAACTTTGAACACAAACTAATGTTAATGTCCACCTTTGCTTTTCCTACTGTGGTAGGTCAAAATTTCTGCTGTGAAAAAAGTTAAAAGTGTAATATTTTCCCAGAGGGTGGCGCTGCAGTAAAATTCCTTTTCTGCTTATTACAGCCAAAGTAAATCTTTGGAAATCTCCTCTTTGAAATCCTTAAAGCTTTATCTAATGGCATTGCTATTGAGAGTTAAAAATTAGGCCTCAGTTGACACCTGTGCACTCTCACATGGGTGTACAATTCAGTGCAAATACCATAAGAGGATTTGACTTCAGAGCAGAACGTAAATTGTGAGGTGCCTTTTAAGTACAACTAACTGAAAGAAGTGTGAGCAAGATGTCCAGCATCTTGAAAACACAGGTGAAACCACCTCTTCGGATCTGTCAGAGTGATAAAAATAACCTTCAAAGTCACTGAAACTGGGGAAGAAAAACTAGCTTATTCCTCAGTCCATCCTAGCAGCCCACTGAAGGTGTATTTGATCCTCACAAACAGAGTTGTAGCGGGGAAGTCTGGAGCGTCCTATAATCCCCAGAAAGTTAAAGCATATCAAAATAATCCTCAGGATTTGCAGAATTTGTAACTTGTTTTGAATAAAGGCATATATTTGATTATAGTGTGCTTGTGTATGAGGATTTGGGTATAAAATAAGGCCTTAAGTATCTTAATTCAATTGTGCAGTCTGGATTAATTTTTGTAGCTTTAATAGAAGACATTCTGAATCTCTGTGCCCTTTTTGGTATTTTTTTAAGACTGTCAGAATGAATATTTTGTAAAACAACACCAAAAAAATAAATAATATTCCCTTAAACAACATTAATCAGTTATTTTCCAGTCTTTCAGACCAAGACATGGGCCTGTTATATTAATCAGAAAAACGGGGTGATCCAGTGTAATGCGTGGCTTGAGTAGTTTATATAAAAAATTATAAGTCATTTATAGGGTGGAGAACAGATTCAGAATACTTTATTGATCCCAGAGGGAAATTGTTTTGTTACTCACACTGAAAATATAAATATGAAAGATTGAAAATATAAAGTGAATTTTTTATATTCAAACAAAGGCACACAAAGTGCAATGTTAAATTAAAATAAAATGTTCCAATTCTAGTGAAAATGTAATGGATGGACAAATCAAGGAAAATCAAATGAAAAAAGTCACCATTTATTTTAACCATTTGGATGAAATAAATCTTAAAACAAGGCTCATGGTAACAAAAAAATGTTTTATGATATTAATTAAATGTAATTCAATAAATAAATGCATTGATACATTTTTATTATTTATTATTATTATTATTTGAATATGTGGCTATATATGCTCATTTTCTAACAACTCTTTTAACTATATTATATTATATTATATTATATTATATTATATTATATTATATTATATATTCCCTTCTGTGACTCGCTCAATAAAGTTTTTTCTTCTTAAAAAAAAAAACATGGCTGGTGAGTTGACCCGGATGTAGTTTCCGTGAGTGAGGCACGTGTTCCCCCTGCAGCAGCATGAGTTGAGGTGGTGGTGGCATTTGGAACAGATGTCTGTAGAGATGGTGGAGCTCTCAGTGAAGGCGGCGGAACCGCTCCGGCCCGCCGGTAACCTGCAGCAGAACCGGGTCTTCCTCGACTTCTTCTGGGACCTGGCCAAACCGGATCAAGAGGTCCGACTGAAGGCGGTGGAAAACCTGATACAGTACCTAAAAACCAACAACAAGGTGAGGCAGACTGCGATCGGTGTCACTGAGAGACGGAGCGTGGTCCCGCTGCACATGTACTCCTCAGAGGTTTTCCACTAGTAGTTTTAGAAGTAGTAGTTGTACACATAGTGTCGTATGGAGAGGTGGAGATGTTTTCATATGTAACTGATTATATGACTGGATATCATACAGGATGTCATTGGCACACTGAAGTATTTCAAGTATCAAGAATTTAAATACTCATATAACAGTTTCAGGCCTATATTATTAACATAAGGCACTATTACCGTAACTACCTACTTTATCAAAACTTGTTAAAATACCTTGTATACAGTATAAGAATCAAAACATTAAATAAAATTACTTAAAAATATAGTAAACCTTTTCTTACCGTACTGCAAGCAGAAATACTGTAAAGCACAGTAAAGTATTTTACTGTCAAGGGTCAAGGATGAAGCATAAAGAGTGCACTTATAAAAATGTCTGAGGTTTAGTATGTAGTATTTCTTGTATAAGTATATTCCAGCATATATATGATTCCACACAGTGTTAAAGTGTCTGTAGTTTCAAAGTTTTAAATCATCTTTCTTCATGTTTTGCAGGAGGATGAGTTGGAATACACCTTTAAAAGGCTGGTGGATGGACTGGCTCACACACGGGAGACTGCGAGACCTGGGTTCAGCCTCGCTCTGGGGCAGGTGAGTGGAGTTTATCCCCATCTATCTTTGTCTGCAGCCCTGCCTCTGCGCACACATCCACAGCTTCAGCCACATCTCTTTGTTTCAGGGTTGGGGGTAATAAACACAGTGCAGGAGTTCAACACTACTTTTAATAACAAAAATCCTCTTTATTTATCTTCATAAGTGATAAAAATTCCTGGATGTGGCTTTTATGTGCTAAGAGATGGTTGTGAGACCTTCTATGATGTATAGTTTGGAGACTTTGACTGACAAAACAATAGGAAGCTGAGTTGGAGGTGGCAGAACCAAAGATCAGAATCAGAATCGTGTTTATTGGCCAAGTATATGTGCAGACACATACAGGGAATTTGGTTTCGGTAGATGGTGGCTCTCAAGCACAGCAATGTAAATCTCACACACACACCCACACACACACAAGTGTCTATATATACACATTACACATACATACACAAAGCTGTGTAAACCAACTATAAATAACGAATCTAAACTTATATACATAAAATACAGAAATAAATGAGGTGGAATGAATACTACAAAATGTACATAAGGTGCAGCTGCAGTGGGAGCAGTGTGACAGGTCAACTGTTAAGAAGGGAGATGGCGAGGGGAAAGAAACTGTTCCTGTGTCGGGTGGTCCTGGTCTGCAGGCTTCTGTACCGTCTGCCAGAGGGCAGCAGATCAAAAAGTCTGTGTGCAGGGTGTGAGGGGTCTGTGATGATTTTCCCTGCCCGTTTCCTGGTTCTTGAGAGGTACAGATCCTGGATGGAGGGCAGGGGGGTGCCGATGATCCTTTCTGCTGCCCGTACAGTCCGCTGCAGTCTGCTCCTGTCCTGTTTAGTGGCTGCTCCATAACAGACTGTGATGGAGGAGCACAGGACAGACTCAATGACCGCAGTGTAGAACTGGATCAGCAGCTCCTGTGGAAGACTGTACTTCCCCAGTTGTCTTAGGAAGTACATCCTCTGCTGGGTCTTTTTGAGGATGGAGTTGATGTTGGTCTCCCACTTCAGGTCCTGGGAGATGGTTGTACCCAGGAACTTGAAGGTCTTCACAGTTGACACAGGGCTGTCTGATATGGTGAGGGGGAGCAGAGTTGAGGGATGTCTCCTGAAGTCCACTGTCATCTCTACAGTCTTAAGAGTGTTCAGCTCCAGATTGTGCTGACTGCACCAGAGTACCAGCCGCTCAACTTCCTGCCGGTATGCAGACTCATCACCATCTTGAATGAGGCCAATGACAGTGGTGTCATCTGCAAACTTTAGGAGTTTGACAGCCGAGTTCTTGGAGGTGCAGTCGTTAGTGTAGAGGGAGAACAGTAGTGGTGAGAGGACACATCCTTGAGGGGCACCAATACTGAGGGACCGGGTTTCAGAGGTGATCTCCCCCAGCCTCACTTGTTGCTTTCTGTCTGTCAGGAAGCTGGTGATCCACTGACAGGTAGCTGGTGACACGCTGAGCTGGGAGAGTTTGGAGGAAAGAAGTTCAGGCACAATGGTGTTAAAAGCCGAACTAAAGTCCACAAACAGGACCCTGGCATAAGTTCCCGGGCGGTCAAGGTGTTGCAGGATGTAATGCAGCCCCATGTTCACTGCATCATCCACCGACCTGTTTGCCCGGTAGGCAAACTGCAGAGGGTCCAGCTGGTGGCCTGTAATGTCTTTCAGATGGGCTAACACCAGTCGTTCGAAGGATTTCATGACCACAGACGTCAAGGCGACAGGTCTGTAGTCATTCAGTCCTGTGATGGTGGGTTTCTTGGGAACAGGGATGATGGTGGAGCGTTTGAAGCAGGAGGGAACTTCACACAGCTCCAGGGATCTGTTGAAGATGCGAGTAAAGATGGGAGCCAGCTGTTCAGCACAGGTTTTGAGGCAGGAGGGAGAGACGCCGTCTGGTCCGGGGGCTTTCCTGGGCTTCTGTTTCTGGAATAGTCGGCTCACATCCTGAGTGTGTATTCTGAGTTTCCTGGAGGAGGAAAGGGGGGTGAAAGGTGTGGTGGAGGTCGTTGAGTCTGGATTGGAGAGGGTGGTGGTGGTCGTTGAGTCTGGATTGGGGAGGGTGGGGGTGGTAGTTGAGTCTTGATTGGGGAGGGGCAGGGTGAAGGGGGGAGAGGTGGAAGGTGTGTTGGGGGTCAATGTCTGAAGCAATGTCCCTGGGGAGGGGAGGGTGGGGGGTGGGAGTCTGTCCGTCTCAAACCTGCAATAGAAAGTGTTTAACTCGTTGGCCAGGTCTTTGTTTGCTTCAATAGTGGGTGGGGGGCGTCTGTAGCTGGTGATTTCCTGCAGGCCCCTCCACACTGACGCAGGGTCGTTGGCTGAGAGCCGTTCTTCCAGCTTCTGGGAGTAGATGCTTTTAGCTGCTTTGATCTCAAAGATGTTAAAGAGTTAGAGGGGTGACGCTGAGGTTGGTTTAGAGATGTAGAGAGGAAGGATAACAGATGTTTAATACGGAGCTGCCAGCCAGGAGGAAAAGAGGAAGACCAGAGAGCAGGTTTATGATGATGTGTAGATAAGGAAGACATTGCAGAGCGTTGGCACGACAGAGGAAGATGCTGGGGGGGATGTTCAGATGATCTGCCGTGATGACCTTTAGATGTCAAAGATGAAGATGAGGAGAAAGAGGCAAATGTCACAGAAGTCACAGAAGCAGATGAAGAAGACAAAGAAGATAGAGACAAAGAGAGAGAAGCGATGATTTGTGTGTAAAAGACTTATACACACCTTTTTTTTGGCACATTTTTGTACGTACAAAAGTGTCACTATAAGCTTTGTATAGCAATAGGTTATGACATCAGCATGTACACATATACCTAATAAAGTGGTCAAGATGTGTTGCTGTTACTCTTCATTAAAGAGCAAATTCAAAAGTCTAAGGAGTAGATGTGATCATGTTAAAAGCTAACCAGTCAGCTGTAAAGCCCCGCTTTATATTCATCTTAAATTAGGGTGGTAGCCAGAAGTTTCCAGGGTGTCATTATGTACACTGGAATTTGTTTTTCCCCCTTGTCAAACATGGACATACCTCCTGAATGAATCATCCTTTGCTTTCTGTCTAGCATGGACAGTCTCCCTTTATTTGTGTATCACCTTCTGTACAGCGTCATGCAATTTAAAGTGCTAGTTTTGCCTTATTTTAAGATGAGTATTGAACTGAATATATTGGTCCTAATGTGGGTTTTGAAGTGTGTACAAATGCTGTTTTGCTGCTA